GAACAACCAGAAAACTGAGCACAACTTACAGTTCGAGCTTCAAAACAAAACCGAGCTGTTCCCCTTCCTTTTTTATTCTTTTTCTTTGATTCTTCCTGGCCACCGAACCACTTCTCCAAGAGATTCTAGTCTTGGGCACTTCCAATGACCTCCAAGAATCAGGCAATACGAGCCTAAGCTTCCAGCCCTAGAATATTGAAGTTTGGGTACGCTCTGATACCATGAAGAAAACTGAAGAGAGGAGAGCTTGAGAGTTCGACAATGTGGGTCTAAGAATGAGAGTTTCGAACCTGCTCTCTCTCAGCACCCTAACACTATTTTATTAAGATATATTTGAATAATTACAAGGAGCCCTTAGTTGGGCAAGAATTTACAAAGAACTTAATATAGACAGGATGGGCCCAAAATAAGGCCCATTACAGAAAAACATAAATAACAAGAAAGAATAAACAACCTATGAGCCATTCGGCCCATCTTCTCTACAATGGTCAACAAAACAACTGGTCATATTCACTAATAATGCATGCATGAATAACAAACAATGACGATTACATAACACAACAATAGAAAAAAAAATGACTTGTTCATAACTCAAGCTAAGAATAGCAAAACCTGGTACTGTATCAGCACAATGAGGGTAAGATGCCCGACTTTTAAGCTCCTCTTCATGTAATCTCTTGTACATTGAAACCTATAAAAATGAAATAGAGGAAAATATGAAACAGAAACATAAGTCCAGCAATGATATCCTTTGATCCAGTTCAAGTCTCACTTAGATTTTTTTTTTTAAGATGTAAGGTAAAATTGTATTAATCATAAAAAAAAAGTATACAAGTGTATCAATTCACAATACAAAAGTTTCTATGCATATGAACACCCTTAAGCACCCACAAAAAATCAACAGCCAAAAAAGATTTAGACAAAAGGTCCTCTTTGAAAATCATGTTGGTACTCAACCATCCTCTAAGTTCTTCTCTGGCTTCTTAATATTCCCTATGAGAAAAACCAATCTTCCCTTACTGCATACATAGACACATATAGATTGAGACCACTCTAACAAATGTGTCCCATCTAGCCTTATTGTGGTGACAGTATTGAAAAAATGATCTACAAACCCAGTGTTTTAAAAGCGCAAGGCGCAGGGGTCAATTTTGCGCCTAAGGCGCAAGGCGCAAGGTGAGGCGCACGCCTTTTTGATGCAAGGCGTAAAATACAAAAAAAATGCTAAAAATAAAAAACAAATGTCAGAAAATTCAAAAGTATGCCAAAAAATTCAAAAAAATCTTAAACATAATATTAATAAGATGGTAGTTGAGGAAGAGAGGAAGTGGAGACAAAGAGCTAAATCCATTTGGCTTAAAGAGGGGGATAAAAATACAAAGTTCTTTCACAAAATGGCAAAGGCTCGTGCTAGGTTCTCTTCAATCAGCAAGCTGGTGTGGGAGGACAGGTGTGGTGAGTCTAG